AGGGCTCCGTGCGGCTTTCAGTTCTTTGTTTCTTTCCATTTTACATGAGCACCTGCTTCTGGAGCGCTCTCCCCCGAGAAGCACATCCTGGCCTTGCACGTCCCAGGGGTGTCCTTCCCTCTGTACCCCAACTTCACCGGCTCATAGCACCCTAAGTCAGAGTTTCTGCTCAGTTGTTTCTGTGCATTTTTTAACCCTTAGCCGAGGATATGTTTTTATTAATTTGAGGGAGAGAGAGAGAAATATTGATGTGAGAGAGAAACATTGATCAGTTGCCTCCCGTACACACCCGACCAGGGATCAAACCCACAACTTTTTGGTGTACAGGACGGCGCTCAACCAACTGAGCCACCCGGCCAGGGCTGTGTGCATGTGTAACATCCCTGAGCGGCTTCTGGCCCTACTGAACTGCCTGCTTTGGCCGTGCAAGTTATCCCGAGGTACCAGTTACTGTTTCCGTTAGGGACCCATTACAGAGTCACACGGGTTTCAGTGATCTGCCCTTACCTTAACCTTGTTTTCCCGTCAGCCCTGTTACCTTTATAGTGCGATTTTATAGAATGTGAGGTTTTTCAGGAGCACAACATACCATTTCTTAACTGAAATACCTCATTTCTTTCAAGTGCTGCAGAAAGACACAAAAAGGAGGCGAGAAGGGCCACTCATATGGCAGAGTCCGGGGTGCAAGGCTGGTCCCTCCCCGGTGGCTCTGAGTTCTGTGTCCCTGGAAAGCACCTCTTCCCAGCCCAGGGCACTACCGTGTGGTGCTTGGTCCTGATGCGTCCAGGGCAGCAGCATAACCCTGTTCTCCGTGTGTCCGCTTTGGAGAGAGAGGAGGGAGCAGCACGAATCGCTAAATATATCCCTGGATAAAGCCTCTTTACTTTCTTTGAAACTAGTTCATGGAAATGCACTTTGAATTCCTGTGAGAACATGCTCCTCTCTTTACTGAAGCCCCGACCGCATTCTGTCTTGTGCTATTACAGTGGCATGCGTGTGCGTGCGTGTGCGTGTGCGTGTGCGTGCACGTGTGTTTTACCTGAATTGCACTGTGATTCCTGAGGGCAGGCCCTTGTTGACTTCCTCCCTATGTCTCCTCCCCTTTGCCCACACAGTGTCTTTCATGTGGTAAGCACTAACAAATACTCGCTTCGTGAACAAACCCTCCAGAAGCACTGACTCACGTCTGGGCCCTTCTGTGCAGAGTAACAACTGTGCCCTGTGAATGCCCATGCAGTGGTTAGAAGACCTAGTTTTGCATTAAAAATTTCCTGTAGCATAGTTATTGGAAATTATGCTGGGGAAGTGAAAACCAAAAAGCAGTGTAAGAACACCTGATGTGAAATATTTTATTCATCGTTTTAAAAAATTAATAAGCAGCAGGAATTATTTAATTTGGCTGCTCTGATAGTTGCTGCTTCGCTTTCCAAGGTTCTGCAAGTGGAGCGGTTCCCCGAGGGAACAACAGTTCAGAACAAAGCTCAAGGTGATCCTGCTTAGACAGGGAACCTGCTGACAGATGGGTTCTGCCTCCACAGCAGGGGAAGCGTGGGTCTCGGGGAGGGAGATGAGCTCCCAGCCTCCACTGTCCCATTCCTACTGGTGAGCGTACAGGTATCTGCTCCGTGTCCTTGCTGTCCAGCCCCCCACGGAGAGGGTGGGGGACAGCATATCTGTGGTGGGTCTATGGTGATTAACATGGCTGGAGTGCAGGAGGCCAGGGGGGACTCGGGGGAAGTGTGGGGAGAGACAGTCTGGAGAGAGAGGACGAGAACCCCTTTGAAAGACCCTGTGGGCTACATCACAGAGTGGAGTCTTATCATGAGGGAATCAGGAGGGCACTGGGAGTTTTCAGACTATCACCAGGACTACCGTGATCATCAGTGTTGTCATCATTCTTGCCAACAGCTCAGTAGCTAACCCACAGGGTAGGCCCCACAATACCCATCAGCACCACCAAGGCAACATGCACTATGTTAGAAGCACGTGCTTGTTAGGTAACCATGGCAGAAAAGCAAGAATGAGAATAGCAATACTTATAGACGCTGCCTATGTGCCCGGCACTTTTCTAAGTGATTTTGTAAAATGGGTTAACTCAATCTTCACAAGATCGGAAGTTGAGGTCCCACAATTAGTAAGTGGTGGTGCTGGGACTGGCACTGTGCAGGCTGGGTCCGGAAGCCTCAGTGATCACCCCATTTCCCACTTTCAACTAGGCTGTCGCCCCTAAGCTGCTGCCATAGAGAAATTCTGAAGTCACTGCTGACCCTGGCAATGTGGACAGACTGCGCGCGGGGATACCTGACGGGAGAGTTGCACTAATGCTGGGGAGGCATGGGGTGAGCAGGCGCAGGGAAGGGACAACAGAGAGAGGAAGGAGAGAACAGGACTGGATGATTCAAACACATGTGAAAATGCACACTGAACCCTGAGCACCAAGGCTGGGACCTGCTACTTTGATGTATCAAAATACTATGATATTTTTATTATTATCAGCTGGATTATTCTCCAGGTTTAAGTCATTAGCTTTTCCTAATAAATTTAATCAGGCAGGTGCAATTAAGCTCTTTTAAAATTTTTTAATTGATTTGAGAGAGAGAGAGCTAGAGAAGCATCAATTTGTTGTTCCTCTTATTTATGCATTCATTCCTTGATTCCTGTATGTGCCCTGACAGGGGATCAATGTGAGAGAAACACATCGATTGGTTGCCTCCCACACACGCTCTGCAACCTCCCATATGGGAATGACACTCTAACCAACTGAGCTACCCAGCCAGGGCCAACTCAGCTTTTTTAATAATAAAAAGTAATATATGAGTAGCCCTTTATGGATCATGCAACATTCATTGTCAACTACATCGTTTGATCTTAAAGCAACCCTCCTGTATTAGTTTGCTGGCACTGCTGGCACAAGATACCGTGAATAGGGCGGCTTAAACAACAGAAATTTACTGTCTCGCAGTTCTGGAGGCGAGCAGTCCAGGTGTCGCCTGGGTTGGCTCCTGAGGGCTGTGAGGGGGCATCTGTTCCCAGCCTGTCCCCTGGCTTCTGGTGACCTGCCAGCCAACTTTGATGTCCCTTGACTTACAAATCTCTGCTTTCCTCTTCACATGGTGTTTTCCCTGTGTGTGCATGTCTGTATCCAACTCTCCCCTTTTTATAAGAACACCCATGAGTCATATTGGATCAGGGGTCCACTCTACTCCAGCATGACCTCATCTTAACTAATTACATCTGCAACAAACCTATTTCCAAATAAAGTCACTTTCTGAGCAGTGGGGTTAGGACTTCAAAGTAAGAATTTGGGGGGGACACACTTCAACCCATAACACCTTTGTAGCAGGTAAAGCAGGAATTATTCTTATTCCCATTTTAAAGATAAAGAAACTGAGTCTGAGAGAGTTGAAGTCATTTCCCCAAGGCAGGTCAATCCCAGGGCCACAAATGCAAGTCTGCTGCCTGACTCAGTGGTTGAGAAAGCCAGACAGGGCCTCTTGCTGTGAGTTTGTCTAGCTGTTCTCACACACGTGGGCCAGTAAGAACTGAAGCTGCAGCGAGCTGTGTAAACAGAGGAGAAGCGGTCATATGCAGTCTCCTCTTGGAATCAATTGCAGATGCCCTAGTATTAAAAGCTCCATTCTGCTTCTTCAAGTGCTGCCTCTCTGGCTGGACCTCATGAGGGTCTGACCTCCAGGGGAACTGTTTACGCAAACTGTTCCTTGTAGGCCCAGCCCTGAGCCAATGGGAGCTGGGTACAACGAGCCTATTCAGGGCAGGAAGTGAAATGCCCGTGTTTCCCCTTCTCTCTATAGCATCATTCTTCGCCTCCCTGTGCCTTTCTTTTGTCCTGCCTGTTGAGTAACATCGTGTGGCTGTGGGCAGTGTGAGCTGCCAGCAGCGAGAGGGTGTGGCTGGGGACACCGGCCTGATGACCTATGCACCAGGGTGGGCAGCGATGGGCAAGTTTCCCAGGAACTGCTCTGCAACACACCAGCTCTGACGCACACCTCCTGCTCTGCCTGTCACTCTCCCCGGCTAAAGCTGGTGGCCCCTGGGTTCCCCTGAACAGAGAGGAGCGACACACCCCATTTGCGAGCCCCCACCCTTGGGAGACAGTGTGAGAAGTAGGCAAGTGTAGATTCCAGAGAGAGAGAGAGAGTCCAATCCGAGCTCTGCCACTTTCCATCCATGTGAATTTAGGAAAGATACTTAACCTCCCTGTCACTGCCTCATGGGTGAAATGGAGCCGATAACTTTGTTTACCTCACAAGGTTAGCGTGTGGATAAATGATATAACCCCCAGATGGTGCCTGGAACACGTCTGCCACATAATTCTAGCACTCGGTAAATGTAGGCAATACTTCCTTGTTTGTTTCCCAAATGCCATTTGTTAATCTGGTCACTGAAAATTGGCAGGCGACATAGTAAGAAGTTAACAGTGGTTATGTCTGGCTGATGGAATATTTGCTTATTTGTATTTTCTAACCTTTCGGTAATTAATATGTATTAATTGTTAATAAGAGAAAATAAGGTCCCGCTGAGGATCTATGGGACTAAGGAATAGTGAGTACAGGGTGAACGTGACCACGGTTAAAGTCTGAAGTCTATGGGAGGAGACGAAACAGGTAGGTGAATGCTCCAAGAGGGGTGGGCAGCAATGCTCAGGGTGGGCTGGGTGTGTGACCAGTGCTCCCCAAGTGGCACCTGCACTACAGAGGTATCGTCAGTCTTGTCCCAACAGTCTCTGTGCATGGTCTTCCCTGGTCTGGACACAGGAAAGAAAGATGATACAAGAGTCAAATAAAAGGGCCACTCCTTTAACCTACCTCGTGCCCCGGGGGGACGGGGCAGAATTGCGGAGATTCCTTCCTAAGGTGCCTATTTCTAGGAATATGTTGAGGGGCTTTCGGTAGCACCTCTTAGGACAGAGATGAGCCCAGGTTGCAAATCAGCATGTCGCACGGAATGAAGTAATTTCCTGTTTCTCTCTCTCTCCACAGCATTATTAGCATCATCATTGTGTTGGCTGGAGCCATTGCCCTTATCATCGGTTTTGGTATTTCAGGTATGTGATTTCCTGCGTCACCACAAGCCGTTCACCCCTCACCACTGAGCCCCCAACCACTCAGTGTGGCAGAAGGGAAAGAGCGCGGCTCGTGGACCCAGAAAGCCTCAGAGTAGAGCGCTGGGCCTCCTCCTTACTGACTGCATTCTCCTCGCATTAGTCACTCATCTCTGTGGGCCTCAAGTTTCCGAGTTTACGGAGTGGAGCAAGCAATGTCTGCGTCACAAGGTGGTTGAGAGAACCAAATGGAACGCTTATCAGAGTGCTCTGCATTAGTCACTCATCTCTGTGGGCCTCAGTTTCCGAGTTTACGGAGTGGAGGAAGCAATGTCTGCGTCACCAGGCGGTTGAGAGAACCAAATGGAACGCTTATCAGAGTGCTCTATCTATCAGACGGCGCTCAAGGTGTGCTGGGGTCAGAGGTGAAGTGCTGCAGGGCTGAGCCATTCTAGCAATGGCTGGCCTGGGCGGATGGTTCCTTTGCAATGAAGCCTCAGCTGACCTGTTAAAGAATAGCAAGTCTTTGCACACAGGGGGCTCCGGAAAAGAGAAGACAGGTGGTTCCATGTAGGAAACATGGATGGTGCGCTTCGGAAGGCAGCTATCTGATGGCAGCTGAGAGGAACGGTCTTTTTCCTCCTCTTCTGTGTCTCAAAAGCATCTATTATTTAAGCCACATTAATTAAGACACTGGGTGAGCTGGTCGGCAGCTGTCTGCGCTGAGGCAAGTGCTTGGCTCCATTTCCCTTCAGCTGTCTGACTCAGGCCAACACGTGTATTTGAACTCAGTCTGTGGCCAGAGCTGTCACTTCAGGACTTTATAGTTTCAGCTGCCTTTTCTCCGTCACTCTCCTCCACTGAGGATGTGCTGCCGTCCCAGGTGACGTGTAAGGAGGGAGAGGCAGCGGAAAGGCCCCTGACCCTACTTGGTCCCTGTGCTGTCGCTCACTCACTCACTGGGTGACTTTGAGCAGCTCTGTGTGGTGGGAGAGCTTAGGAATCAGACAGACGCTCTAATCTCTGGCCTGACACCAATGGTCTATGTCCATTTGGATATAACTTAACTTTCCAGACAGTTTCCTCGCTGGTAAGGCAGTCAGAGTAGTTATGGGGACTAAATGACAAAGATTTGTACAGTGCCTGACGCGTGTGTGTAATAGGTGGCTGCCATTATTATTTATGGTGACACCATCAGTGCTATTCAGAGTTTGCTGTTATTGATGCATTCGTATACCACCTCCTGACGCTTGCACAATTTCCCAGCCACACCAAGGCAGGCCCCCTCTGAAGTTAGGGAGGCCAGGGCAGGAAGCCACAGGACACAAATTCTCCATCTTTGGACACTGGGTAAAAGTTACAGGCTACTCAGTAAGCCAGTCAGGCATGTGCTTATGGCACCAAAACAGGAGCATTGAACAAATTGTTTGGAACAAAATTGATATTTTAAAAAATTGTACTCATCTGAGAAAATGAACAGCTATTGGCTTTTCTTACACTTGTTTTATAGTTTGTCATTTTTCTATGTTTGTAAGAGGTGAGTAGGCTCACTGTTTCAGTCTGGCCCTGGATAGCAGCAGAACTGGGGAGAAAGAGCACAGGCTTAGCACCAGATAAGATGGAGCTTGACACTAGCTCTACTACTTGCTACTTAAAGGGCTTTAGGAAAGCCATTTAATCCCACAGAGCCCCCTTATCCTCATTCATAAAATGATCGCTCTTATCTCCCATGGTTTTATCAGGCTTACAATGAGTGACTATAAGTAAAGTACTTAGTAAACTGTTTCTTTCCTCCTGGTACTCTAATCTGCAATCTTTCCAAATGATTCTAGTTAATAACAGTTATCAATACCACTGATTGAAGGTTTAACATGTGGCAAACTGGGTACTATACGAAGCTCTTTACCTGCGTGTTATCATTTAGACCACTGAGGGAACTACTGTTATTAAACATCCCATTTTATAGATGAAAAGCTATGGGATAAAGAAGTTAGAAAACTTGCGCAAGTAAGTGGCAGAGCTGGGATTTGAACCCAGACAGCCTGATACCTGCGCCTTGTGCTCAAACACTATGCTCTGCTGCCACTTCCCTACCGTGTGCCTTTATCTAGTCAGGCCCAGCATCCTTTCTAGTTTCTTCTCACAGAAGCAATTGCTACCACCAACCCTGCTCTCTTCTCTGGCAAGAGTGGGACTCACAGGTTCCACCCCAGGCTCCTCTGGCACAGGCGTAAACCTATGTGTTTCCACTTTTAAGCCATGTGCTGCGGTGCCCATCTGGACAGCTGCGTTCCAGCAGATGCTGAGTGACCACCTGCTGAAGGCTTCCAGGATGCTCTCTATGCTGCAGAACCTGTCTTACTGAGTCCTTTCAAAGGGCAGTTGATTTTTCAGGGTTAAGAGCTCGATCCCCAGTAGGGGCCATACAGGAGGCAGCCAATCAATGGTTCTCTCATCATTGATGTTTCTATCTCTCTCTTCCTCTCTCTGAAAATCAATAAAAACATTTTTTAAAAATAGCTGCTTTAAACTCATCTCCTACAGCCCTGTGGCTCACCAAATCACACAAGAGCCCCTGGTGGCTATGAGGCCTGGAGAGTCATATCAGACCAGTCTGTGTTCCCTAGGACACAGCTCCTTGAGACAGTATTTGTTTGCAAGTTTGTATATAGATTTCTTTTTTGTGAGAAGCAATATTTATTTCCTGTTGCTTGCATATTAAATTTTATTTTATCCCTTTTTATCATCATTTATTCACCTAACAGTAAGTATTTATTGACTGCTTTCTTAAAAAGCAATGGCTTGGTCCTCATGGTTTTTCAAGATCTCACAGGCCTTTATTCCTCCTCTAGTAAGTATTTATTGACTGCTTTCTGGGTACAAAGCAATGGCTTGGTCCTCGTGGTTTTTCAAGATCTCACAGGCCTTTATTCCTCCTCTTGATTTGCTATGGGGAGGGTGGGATTTAATCAACATCACACGCATTCCATCTGCCACATCTGTAATGCAACCTTAAATGGTCTTGAGCCCACAGTGGTCCCTCAGGCTCCCATGGCTGCTACTTTTACTCATTAAGTTCTCTAAGAGAGCATCCAACAAATCCTCCACTTGTGGGCTCAAGGCCAACGCATTACAATTAATTCGGTAACACAATTACCGAACTAAGATATGTCATTACCATTTCATTCTCTCCATAAACTGTGCTAATTATGTATTTTTCCTGAAAAGTAATTTTTCAAATCAACTTTAATGGCACTTTATAAACTACAGTCAAATTTACCCTTGCTCTAATATAGTTACATTTGCCCCATGGTTTTATTGAGAATCTCTGTGTATTTTCATTGCCTTTTTAAAATATATATTTTTTATTGGTTTCAGAGAGGAAGGGAGAGGGAGAGAGAGATAGAAACATCAATGATGAGAGAGAATCATTGATTGGCTGCCTTCTGCACATCCCACATTGGGAATCAAGAACATAACCCAGGCATGTGCCCTGACCAGGAATCGAACCATGACCTCCTGGTTCATAGGTCAATGCTCAACCACAGAGTCACGCCGACCAGGCTCATTGCCTTCTTTTTCACTGGCTCACATCTCCCCCAAATTTAGATGTGGTAATCCTGCCAAATGTTCCTCACTCCCATAATCATTTTGGGTAGAACTATTAAACAGTCCCTTGATTTCTACTGACTTCCATTCATTTATTCATTCACTGAACAAATACATATTTTTCGCTCAGGCTGCCGTAACAAAATACCAGAGACCTGGTGTTTAAATGGCAGACGTTTATTTTCTCACAGGTCTGGAGGCGGGGAAGTCCCCTCAGGCCCCAGGTGGCCCACCTCTCAGGCTTCCATCAGAGGAAGGGTGATCTGCTTTGCTCCGTTTACTCATTCAAATCTTAACCTCACCCAGAAACATCCTCACAGACACACCCAGAGTATCTGACAAAATGTCTGAGCGCTCTGTGGCCCAGTACAGGTGATACACAAAATTAATCATCACAACAGTATAGGAATTACAGATATGATTCAAACAGTTTCTGCCCTTGAAAAGCCCACAGATTAGTGCCAGATAGAGACCGGAGACAAGGTAGAGGGGAGACAGCTGCTGTAATAAAGGCACAGGAAAGTGTTCAGGGACAGTAAAGAGAGAGTCTACTCATTTTGTCTTGGTAGATCAAAGGAGGGTTTCGTGAGAGGCTGCCATCTGAACAGCCTTGAATATAAGCAGAACTTGGATAGCTGGTGATAAGAGAGGAGGGAACTATAAATTGGAGGTGCAAGATGAACAGGGGTGTGAAAATAATAGTATAATTGGCATAACCAGGATTAGCCAAGGCGGGGAAAGGCGTGTTTCACATTCATATCACACAGTAAAACTTCGCACCATCCTCTCTCATGACTTCTCTCCCAAACCTCCCACCTGCGTGGCCATGCATGGCAGCTGCTCCCGTCTCTATTCCCTGCACTCTAAGCCTCCAAACATCCCCCCAGTCCAGCCTGTGCACCTGTGTTTCCTCTGCCTTTTTTACTTATAACTTTTCTTCCATCAGTAGCTCTCTGTTCTTTCTAATATAAACCCATCTAGCTTAGCTTCTTCAGGTCTGTCCCTCATCCATTACCTTCATCTACTTTATAAAGGCCGAGGGCCCAACTAGACAATTCTAACCCCTTGTGGGCACGAGAGAATATCCGTATGTTCATAATGTTACCTCTGACATTTGAAAAATACCAAGTATGCTTGTGTATTTTTCCATTGAAAGCAGAAAATCAATAAATCACTTGATATGAACAGACAATATAGACTATGAAAGAAAGCAGTGGGAAATGAGGGTGGAAAGGTAACAATTAATGAGCATTTCCTATGTGCCATGCAGTATTTAGGTCTGAAGGCCATGCTGGGTAGTCTGAACTTGACTCCACAGTCCTTGGGAGTCATGAAAGACTAGTGATTAGAAAACTAACATGTTCATATTGTTCTTTAAGCTCTACCTATAAGACTAATGCATGTAAAATATATTGGATGGAGGCAAAGATAAGAGGAAGGAATAGCAATAAGGAAGCTGGGAGGCGCTCAGCACCCATTTTTCTGGCTTTAAGGAGGAGAGGTTAGTGAAGAACATTTTAATATAAGGTATTAAAGGATACTCAGAGATTGGGATGGAACTCGACCTGAAAATCCTCAGGATCTACGACAGCTCTGGGGATGGGGACACCTTCTTCATCTTTCTTTCATGGTCTTCCCACTCCCCTACTTTTTGTGTCTGGCCCACGGTCCTCTTGGGCTCAAAGACTCATCCTCATCTCAGCTTCACATCCATACCCCAGAAGGAGCCTCTCAAGAAGATTCAGTTCATTGAATCAGTCCTACAGGCGTCCCCATCAGCAGCCCCAGTGCAGAAAGAAGGGCTGGTCCATCCTTCATAGACTGAGTGGGCTATCGGCTGGGCAAGTGCGGAAAAGGCAGTGGACACGGCTGGCTGCATGATTCATATTCTGTTGGTGATATGCTTGGAGAGGAGGGGATATCTTCTATCTTAGGCCAAAAAAAATAATTTAATTAAGTATCATTCTTCATTATGCCATAGCTGGCACTATAACCTTGACCACGTCACTTATCTTCTCTCCGCTTAGCTTCTTCATCATTCAAATGGAGATAAAAGCAACAGCACTTTAGAATCTGACATTCTTCAGAACTCCTAGTCACATTTGGTTAACATGAGGTTTCACTTCTACACCATTTCTGGTTAACTATGAATAACAACACCTTATATGTGCAATTACAATTTTCAAGTCAAGTTCATAATCCTTTGATTTGATCCTTACAGGAATCCTTTAAGATAGGCAAGACAGATAGCATTAACTCCATTTTCCTGAGATCCAGAGAGGTTACATGACTTATTCCAGCTCACACAGATACGAAATGACAATGCCAGGACTTGAGTTCTCATCTTTAAACCCCAAATCCAACATGGTCTCCTCTCATCGTCTCCCCAGGATTGGGTTACTTGGTCCCAAAAAGCTATTGTTTATTTTAGATCCCTGTAGCTATAAAAACAGACTATTGTCTTCCTGCTCTTTCTATCCTTCTTACATCTTCTTTCCTATGCCTCTGCTGTCCTTCTGTCTTCCTAATTTGTTGCAGAAGTCTCTGTTTGGCTTTTAGTAATGAAGGGTTTGGTGACAGAAGTTCCAAAGCTTTCCTTGGCATTGACCCTTGCTTCCTAAATTGCAGGCACACACTCCATCTCAGTCACGACTCTCACCTCGGCTGGGAACATCGGGGAGGACGGAATCCTGAGCTGCACTTTTGAACCTGACATCAAACTTTCTGATATCGTGATACAGTGGCTAAAGGAAGGTGTTATGGGCTTCGTCCATGAGTTCAAAGAAGGCAAAGATGACTTGTCAGACCAGAATGAGATGTTCAGAGGCCGGACAGCCGTGTTTGCTGATCAAGTGAGAGTTGGCAATGCTTCTCTGAGGCTGAAAAATGTGCAACTCACAGATGCTGGCACCTATAAATGTTACATCATCACTTCCAAAGGCAAGGGGAATGCTAACCTGGAGTATAAAACTGGAGGTAAGGTATTTTTAGGCAGAGGGAAAGAAAGGGCCAAAAGCTATTTGAGGCTAAAGATCGGTTAGTTGATGAAATATGCTTTTACGCTCATGAGTGATTAATATCAGACAAGACCCTCAAAGTCTGTTAGCAACCAGCCTTGCTGTCCAAGACCCACACCAACTCCAAAAGGGGCCCATTATATTAGGTCTTAAAATCTTTTGTTCTGAACTCTAGCTTCTTCTGAATTTTCACATATATTATCTAAATAATATATTGTAGTGACAGGTGAATACTGTTTCTTCCTTCTCTCTCTCCCTCCCCTAACTATTTTCTCCAGGTAGCAAAAAAGATATAAAGTTCAGAAGACTTCACAGGTCCCTGGGGAAACACCCAATTTCCCTAATGGATAAACTTTTTTTGTAATCACTGGAACTCCTCTTACTTGGAGAATTTACCTGTTGTAACAATTAAACCTAGAACTTATGTCTGTGGAGTTTGTGATATCGGCCAGAATTGTGATGTACAACAATATCATGAGCAGATCATTATTTGCATCTACAGTACAGTGGGCCATACACAGAGAGCCCACTGGGGAAGTGAAGTTCTGAGTCACCTCAATGATAGAAATCACGGTGTATTTAAGACCTAGTACTTCAAAGGCTATATTGTCTTCTCTTTCTGACCTTGACATCAGCCCTTTCTGACCTTCAACCCTGCAGCCTTCAGCATCCCAGAGATGGATGTGGACTATAATGCCAGCTCAGAGAGCTTTCGATGTGAGGCTCCCCGATGGTTCCCCCAGCCTACAGTGGTCTGGACATCCCAAGTTGACCGAAGAACCAACTTCTCAGAAGTCTCCAATACCAGCTTTGAGCTGAATTCTGAGAATGTAACCATGAAGGTTGTATCTGTACTCTACAATGTCACAATCAACAACACATACTCCTGTATGATTGAGAACAACATTGCCAAAGCCACGGGGGATATCAAAGTGACAGGTGGGTCTCTTCATGCTTTTTGTATGGGTTCATTGGGGTGAGAATTAAATCTAAATTAAAATATAATTTCTATAACTGATATATTATGTACGAGGGCACAGAAAGCTCTAGAGTTCTCTTCACAGACACCTACATCACAATTCCAGTTGGGATTACACTATATAAGAAGAAGACTAATACAAAACAATATTTATGGCCTAATAGGTCAAAGATGGCAACTAAGCTTCATCTCATACACCTTCTGACTGCTTGGAGAGCAGTGTGTAGGGTCCTGAGGCCCTAACTCAGCAGGACTGCTTTGGTGAAGCAGTGGGATATGATGATTACTTGATATCTCTGATATATTCAGCTAGTGATCTATATGCCAAGTCCCCCAACACTGGTTTGGTTCTAGTCTGCCTTTGAGAAGGCTTTCAATCTGAAGACGGAAGGTCTTAGAATCTGCCTTAGTCTTATTCAGCCCTTCTCTCCTTAGTCAGCTCATGTTCCCACTAACATGGCCCAGGATTACCCAACAGCTCTAGTTTGAACTGGCCTCCCAAGCTGCGAAGACCAGGATCCAGGGAGCCCAGCACTCAGGTCTCCCTGCAATGCTTTAGTGCATAAAAACCTAGGGTTGAGCTGGCATCAAAGAAATGCACAGACTGAATTATAACTTTTAAAACCATCCCTCTTGGGGCTAAAATGAATTCAATTTGAGTGAGTTGTAGGAATTCTTTTGCATCCTAGATAGGGAACATTTATCAGACATATGATTTGCAAATATTTTATCTCATTCCATAGGTTTTCATATGTATACTTTATTTATTTACTTTACAATGTTTTTATTGATTTTTGAGAGAGAGAGAGGAAGGGGGAGGGAGAGTAACATCAATAGGAGGCCTCCTGTACGCACCTGACTGGGAATTGAACCTGCAACCTGGGTATGTGCCCTGACTGGGAATTGAACGGTCACCTTTCAGTGCATGGGACAATGCTCAACCAACTGAGCCACACCGGCCAGGACAGAAGAATGGTTTTGATAGAAGAGGAAGCCATGAAGTCAGGAGCCTATGTCAAAGTCCATAACATCAATAGGAGGCCTCCTGTACACACCCGACTGGGAATCGAACCTGCAACCTGGGTATGTGCCCTGACTGGGAATTGAACGGTCACCTTTCAGTGCATGGGACAATGCTCAACCAACTGAGCCACACCGGCCAGGACAGAAGAATGGTTTTGATAGAAGAGGAAGCCATGAAGTCAGGAGCCTATGTCAAAGTCCAAGGGAGAAATTATGAGGGTCTTAATGGGGGCAGTGGCAATGGGAAAGAAAGGGGAAGAATAAAAAGTTAATGAAAAAAATAATCTACAGGCCTTAGGGACACAAATGTGGAGGAGAAGAGAAAGAGCAAGTCAAATGGGTGTGATGTTTCTACACTGTTGGCTTAGGAGGTTAATAACTCTGCCAACAAACAAAATACAGAAGCAACATTTCAGGAAAAAAGATGGGGACCTGTTTGCTTAGGAGGTTAATAACACTGCCAACAAACAATTAAAATACAGAAGCAACATTTCAGGAAAAAAGATGGGGATTTTAGAGATGCTGAGTTGAAAGTGCCCATTGTTTACTAGGCAGAAAGGTCCTATGGTTAGCACATGACCCAGCATACGAGGGGTTTTGGGAGAACGCTCCATCCCTATTCCACATACTTCCTCCCATGAGAAGATACCCCACCAACCTAACCCTTCCAGCCTCTCTGTTCGCCCCTCTTCCATGCCTCATCAGAGAAGCAGGAGTTACTAATGTATCTGATGGGTGAGTCTATTAGAAGAAGCCGGACTTCAGAAGCTCAGCTCCTTCTTTTTTCTTGTCTCTCTAGCTACCCTCAGGAAGTATAATTTCTACCCTGCTCTTCCCAGCCATCAATGTTTCAGGGGCGTAATCGGCTTGGCTGGAGGAAGCCTGCCCCAGGCTGGTGCTGCCTGTCCGGGGAGATGCCTGGGCGACAGCTCACTTCCGAGCAGACAAAGCTTCATCCTGTATCAGATTTATTAGTAATGAGAGTGATATTTTGGTCTTCCAGTTGCCTCACTCGCTTTGTCCTACTCTTTAACGGATTCAGAACTCAGCTGTAAAAAGGGGTGTTCTTTATTGGGCTCCTTTGAACCCCAACAGTAGGTGCTCATACATTTACTCAATAATTATGTTTTTAACTGACCCAGTAGCAACTGTAAATCCAGATGTGAAACTCATGACAAAGTTCAGAATAAGGAGATGGATTTGGAAATGATCAACTTAATGGAAGTCATACTCATTAATTAGGCTTGAGCAGGGTTACTCTTGTTGTTTTCACAGATAATACTTATTGATTGCTTACTTATGTGCCAGGTACGTTCCAAGCACTTTAATGTATTAACTCATTAATCCTCCTAAGAAGTAGATTATTATTATTTTAGTCCTATTTTATAGATGAAGAAATGGAAACACATATAGATGAACTAAAGTCACACAGCTAGTAAGTGTCAGAGCCAAAAGGAACTAAATGAGATTGGACTGTCGCGGGAAAAAACAGAGTAGAGCAATTTAATTTCTTCATTTCTCTTCCCTACTTCAAAATGAGAACAATACTTTCTCATCACTTTGCAATGATGTCAAGAAAGCGAGTAACACAGAACCTATAAAGGTCACGGCCGAGAGGGGGAAAAACGTGTCTGAAACCAAGGACTGGCCACGGCCATTGTTCAGCCCATTCTTTCCTTGGTAACCGATTATTATCTCTTTATTGGTATCATTTTTCATTTGGCTGCGAGCTTACTGGAGTGGACCATGGAATAGAACTTCCTCTGAAGAAAAGGAAAGTGGATAATGGGGTACAAAGTTGCCCCCGAATTGGGTACAAGTTGTATTAGGAACAACTTGCTGTTTTGCAGGTACTTTTCCTTGCTAACCAGTCATGTGGAGATGATATGCAGCTTCCCCTCTATGACCCTGAACTTGTCTCTCCCTTTACAGACTCTGAGATTAGAAGGCGGAGTCACCTAGAGCTGCTGGACTCAAAGGCCTCCCTGTGTGTCTCTTCTTTCTTTGCCATCGGCTGGGTACTCCTACCTCTCTCCTCTTACCTGGTCCTAAAATAACGTGCCTTGGCCACACAGAAACGTGCAAAGTCATTAGTACAGCAGGTGAGATGAACCCTGAATGGTATGGGGGGTCCACTGTGTGTGTGCTTGTGTTCCTAACACGATCAAGCAGCTCCAGCATCAGCTCTGAGGATGATCCCTTCCTTGAAGGAGAGACTCAAGCCATCTCCTTTCCCTCAGCAACCTAGGGTGTCATGTGGCCTTGATAGAACATCATCAAAATACAGAAAACAAGGCCATTCCTGAATAAGAATACACTCATCCAGTGGCAGGGAGAGGTTCTGTTCTCAATAAATGTTTGCTGAATGGTTGTAATGGTATCTTATTGCTGTTATTTTCAGAATCCCAGGAATCTGCAGAACAATTTCACCACAAGATATAACCTAGTTTTCTATTTCTTGGGGGAAATGAATTCATGCCTAAAAGCCTGGAGTGAACATCCAAGATCAAGAAGCAAAAAGAAGCCAAAAGCAACCCACTGAAGACTCCAATATGAACAAGATAAATCTATCTTCAAAGACACGTATTAAAAGTTGGGGAAATAATTCATCTGAACTAGAGAAGTGTGTTAAGACTGCGAAGTAAAATGCATGTGGGGACAAGTGTACCCCCCCATATCTCAGGGACCTCCCTTTACCCATCCCCAGTTGGGGAGTGAGAGGGTGGGCTATTGCAGCTCCCCGTCTCTGGATCTTGTTATCCTGCTGTAATGTCGCCCCCAGAAAGTTTCAATTGCAATATGTCCATGCTTAAACTTCTGTGGAAACAGCAAGAAGCTGCTAGTCAGCTGCCACTTCACAACAGAGGTGGCTGCATCTTAGTGGTGGGTCCAACGATCCGCTTGTCACTATGATGCTTCCAAACGTGCCTCGGCATCTCTTCCCACCTGACAAACGCTGAACAAGTGTGGGACGTGACTGTAATTTTAAGGTAAAAATCGTAGTTGGGGGACATTTTCTAAATGATCCGAGTACCTTCTTTTCAAAAACAAACAAATGCCATTTTATTTCTCAGGTGACGTTTAGCCTTGAGTGGGCTCGGAAAGGCCTCCCATCTTGGCCACATGGGCGTTAAGTCACCACAAGGTCGCAGGCTTGTGCTTTCCAGCCTGTGTGGCCTGAGAGGACCTCAGGTCTCAACAGCATCTAGAGCAGTGAGACTCACTCAACCGGGCTCATTCTGCAAACCCCCAGGGATATTTAGAAATGTTTGGAGACTTTAACTATCACAATTTTGGGGGAGGGATGCTACTGGCATCTAGTGAATAGAACTCAGCGCCCTACAATGCACACGACATCCACCCACAACAAAGAATTATCCAGCCCAGTATGTCAATCATGCTGAGGTTAAGAAACCCTGATGCTGAATAGGAAAGGATCTTAAAAATAGGCATTAGCCTCTGTCACGTAGGCTGCGGTCTCAGACCAGAGAGCCAGAAGTCAGTTTGGGGCAACCAGGAATTTCTGACGGATTATCTGCAGCTGTTGAGCTTCTGAGTTCCTTTCCCTTAGTTTTTCTCTACAAATAAAGTTCTGTGAGGGACCTGCTTGAGTTCCATCTCAAGTTCTCCCTCTCTGAATTTAGATCTCAGAACCCTACCTAGTCACATTCAAATTAAGACAATAAAAACATGTACCTTCCTTGAAGCCCACAGAGAAATCTGAAAGCAGGGACAATAAACCTTTGAAAGGAGGCCCTGAGGAACGAGGCTTTGATAGGAAAGAATATTTTGTTTCCAGCCCCCTACCCACACCTTTCACGTGTTGACTACGGCCTCCCGGGCACTTTGGACCCACCACGATTGTATTACATTTTGTTATAGAAAACTTGATTGTATAGTTCTGATCACTCATGAGAATGATTAAATATGCATTTCCTATACTGGTGTCTGCCTGGTTTGTCAAAGAAAGTGAGTGTAAGGGAAGATGAATAAAAAGGCATAGATCGGGTTCTAAAGCTTCGTGCCTCGCATATGACCGGCGTTCAATAAGTGTCTGTTGAGTGATGGATAAGTGAATGGGAGGACATGAGAGGAGCCTGTGAGCATGGGCCAGGTGGCCGGGTCTAGTTTCTTAAAGAAACTCCACGAGGCTCACCAACCTGGCATGTCTCCATCTAGGAAAATAGATGACAGTGGGCTTGACGCACATAAGTGTGGAAGAGTGCATGTTGGTGGACAAACCCAATGCTCTGGTGCCAAAAAAAAAAAAAAAAAATCTGACTTTGACTACTCAGGAATTTCAATTTCTCAATCTCAGAAGAAAAACCTCAAAATCATCATTCCCAGGCCTTTTGCTTTTCAGATGAAAACCCAGAGGGGAAGTGTGGGTAACTGGCTATCTTCAGGTTCTACAGCTTGCCCAAATCACACTGGTAGTTGGTGGAGGAGTAAAATCTATAGAAAATCTCATTTTCAAATTCCCACAGGCCTTTTGCACAAAGAAAACATTATGAAACCAAATCAAGAAAGCAAACTGTGAAAGCATGACATGCTCAACCCAACCCAGGTTAATCCCTTGGCCTTGTCCATGAGCACACAGCGATGCATTAGGCAACAGATGGGTCAGATCAGCCGAAGTGCAAGGACCAGGATATCACTTACACCACAAACATCTGGGGAAGCTCAAATCGAGATGCCGAAGGCTAAAACATCGCAGAAGTATTAAAACACTTGAAGGAACAAACAATTCTAACTTCAAGGTGAAGTATCAGCTACCAGCTATACTTTTCAGGTTGTATGAGATTTGTTTCACCAGCACAGTGACTTTACTGTGCCCACTGTTAACTGGGGAGGGGTAGGCAGGGGATATTATTGCATACTGAGGCGTCTGCCCCATGGCACAGTGGTGTGCTTTCATTCCATTGATGAAACACAAAATTCCCAACCTCCCTCCAGCTGGTGAAGTCTCCACACATCCACTGGCAGCTCTAATTCAGACTGTCTTCCTATGTGCCTGCGCTCCTTGCTCCTTTTAACCGTGTCTTACGTCCTGTTTCACATCAATCATCTCCAGGAGTTTCAGCACGGCAGCCAGGAGAGAAAATTAACAGTCTCAAAAACAGAACCTCAGCTGTGCTCTCTTTTCCATCTACCCTCAAGCAAAAATTCCTCTTCCCCCCATGAAGCTGTCTCCGAGCGGTCCTTCATCTGTACATGCAATTTAGCACAAAATCACACACTGTCTTGTTGACTGTTCCTCATTGCTGTGTACTTGGACTCCTTTGAAGATGATGACACAATAGGTTTGGGAGCTCAGGCAGTCCTTGGAAGTTTGCTCTTAAAAGAGGGCCACTCAGATATTCCCAGGAAGCCTTGTTTACTGATGGTGTCTGCGGGGCCAAGGCAGTTAAGGCACAGCCTAGAAGAGGGGTCTGTAGTTATCACTACAGGAGGCCCTGTGTCTACGGAAAAGCCTAGCTCCCCCAGATAATGATATACCTGTGTCTTCTCAAAGTCAAAACTTGACCTTCAGCATTATCTTATCTCTTCAGTCCAAATCGAATTGCCTGGCCTAAGAAGTATTTTTAGCATTTTCAATTATAAGGTCCCTAACCCAAAACTCTAAATAATACTTTAAATAAGCACTTTATGGGTACCTTGGTCCTATATCCCTTCTTTAGAACAAGACTAAAGTGGTGCTCAGTGAATCTAGCCTGTGAGCAATAGCAGACTGTTTTCTTTCTCTTTGCCTCCCATATTTGCAGTTTTCAAATTTTATTTGTAGCCACTCATGTGTTATTTTAGGGAGAACTATTTAGGTTTTACAGATAAAATTCCAGGACCGTATGTACTTAATATGACTTTGATGAGATGGTTCAAGTAGCCACACGTGACTCAAGAGGCAGGTCCAGGTCCCATCATACCTCAGTAGGGGAGGATGGAAGTGTGACAGGGTGACAACACAAAGACAGCAGTTGCTATTGAGAGGCAGTAGGTGCTCCCAGCAGAAGCCAAGTCACGGCCTGCTAAATGACTACTGTCATCAATTCCTCTCAATGTTCCTTTTACCCCTCTGCTCCTATGTGGCCCAATCCACCCTCCTCTAGGCCCTGAGTACTCTCAGTGTTTCTAGCATTCTTTCCAACAAACTCTGCCCTCCTCCCAATAAGAACTAGCATCTAGCTACACATGAGAAGGTAATTCATTAACTACCTTTTTCAATAGCTTAATGTATGGCCCTCCCATGGAGGCAAACCTTTATTTCACTGAAATGAAGCTAAAGTGAAAATATCATATAAAAACATCAAACCAGTGAGAGATACTTGGGGTAGCAGAGTATAGACCAGTGCCTCTCGGCGAGGGAGACCAAAATAAAGGACAAAATTAGAAAAGAACAGTGAACGATCAGAAGGGGCTTATCAGTTCAATCAAGAGAGCCTTGTAAGAACTGACACGGATGTAAATTCGGGAATTACTATTCTCTCTTAACATAATGGACGGAGAGTAACACAAACACAACCAGGATAGAGATACGCGTGTCAAAAAATGCGTGGCTCCGTTTCATTCTCTCCCCACCTCATCCACTTAGGAGCCAGAGTATTGTACTGACCTACGTTCAGGGTCAGGTCTGAGCATACTGAGGAGGGTTCCTGCTGTGGGCAAAAGTTTTATTGCAGGCCCTGTCACAATAGTAGCTGCCTCAGGTTGGTAACGATGACTATTAAAGAGAGAGTTCATAAAAAGCAGTTATTACACTGCCTGGCTGTAACAGTCTGCTAGGACGGCCACAACGAAATACCATAGACTGGGTGGCTTAAACAACAGAAATTTCTTCCCCCATGTTCTGGGACTGGCAATCCAAGACCCAAGTGCCAGTAGGTTTGGTTTCTCCTGAGGCCTCTCTTCCTGGCTTGCAGATGGCCACCTGCTTGTTGTGTCCTCACGGGGCCTTTTCCTTGTGCACCTGCATCCCTGGCATCCCTCTCCTTATAAGGACACCAGTCATGTTAGATTAGGGTCCACCCATACTACTTCACTGAACCTTAATTACCTCTTTAAAAGCCCTAGCTCCAAATACAGTCACATTCTGAGGTATACTTTGGGGGTCGAACGACCCTTTCACAGGGGTCGCCTAAGACCATCGGAAAACACATATATAATTACATATTGTTTTTGTGATTAATCACTATGCTTTAATTATGTTCAATTTGTAACAATGAAATTGGGGGTCACTACAACATGAGGAACTATATTAAAGGGTCGCGGCATTAGGAAGGTTGAGAACCACTGATCTAGATACTATGATACACAGAGAATTCAATAGACTTACCATCCTGATTAGGAGCGAGCCATGAAGACAGCAGGGGCCAACGTAGTCCAGACAAAGGGTCTTTTCTAAGTCAACATTTTCAGGATGAATCTTGCAAGATGACATGGTCACTAAGTATAAGAATGGAAGAATCCTAAAAGGAAAAAAGAGAAAGCGCGTAATGTTACATTAGAATGCAATATTGTAAAGAGTGCAAAGCATGCCTTTTATGATCCATTCTTTAATACAACAGTATGAGCACTCCACACTGCTGCTAATTTTAATCACGAGAATTATTGCCATCTGCACCACAAAATCCAGTCTATAAATGTGCCATTTTCTTTATATTATTACCCATTTAGCAGTGTATATTTTATATGGAAGATAAATTTATATAAAAAGATCATGTAATCACAAAGCACTCATCCAAAATAATTTTTTAAACAAACACATTAATATAATGTATCAGTTGCTTCCTAAAATATTTATTTCAAAAAGGTTAATAATGAACTTTATTACTTGACAAACATAGAAAAAAGAGGATTCACAGAAAGAGATGAATCGAGTGTACAATAAAGTGTAAATAGTCTAAGAATATCTTTATGCCAAACCAATTAAGACTGGGGGCAGATTCCTGACTACATCAACTGCAGAAAGTCTGGGGTCATGGCAGGGGTTTGGTCTGGCAACTAGGAGTCAAGTGAAGAGACAAAGCAGGTGTTAGACAACCTTGGATAAGACACTGAAGAATCACCCTAGCTGGCTTGGCTCAGTGGATAGAGCATCAGCCTGTGGACTAAAGGGTCCCAGGTTCAATTCCCGCCACGGGCACATACCTGGGTTGCAGGCTCCATCCCCAGTAGGGGGCGTGCAGGAGGCAGCAGATTGGTGATTCTCTCTCAATATTGATGTTTCTTTCTCTCCTTTTCCCTTCCTCTCTGAAATCAATAAAGAAATATTTTTTTTAAAAGTGAAGAATCTTTTCCAAAAGGGTAATAATAATGGAACTTATGTCTCATTTAGTCCCACTCTGACCCAGAAGAGCTACACAAGCAGAGCTCCAAAGTTCAGATCATTCTACCCATTTCATCCTGCACCTTCTCAAAATTGAAGAGTTGCCCGTTTTTCATAAAATATCCGTTATAAGGACTATTTACGCTTCTTAGAGCTAACAATTAGAATTATCTCATGGTTCAGAGAATTCATAGATAAAAAAATCAAAGTACCATAATGCAATGCAAGTTCTCCCTTCTCTGTCTCAGTTCAAAATAAACAAAACAGAAGTATGCAAGGTCCAAGCATTTCTTAGTTACACAAGCCTTTTATTGCAGCTACTGCCACTAGGTGGCACTAAAGACTCAGTGTTTCAGGAATCAGACTCAAAATCTAAAGGCAAAAATTATTGATCTTGAAATAAAGAATAAATTTCCCCGGTCCTCTGCCATTATGACCAGTTTCTTAGAAATTAACATGAATCTCACTTTATTCACTTATTTATTAACCCTACTATGTTTCAGACACTGTGCCCAATGTTAGGGATGCAGAAATAAAACACGGTTCCTTGTCCTTAAGAGTTCCCAGTGGGGAGGGGGTGGGGGTACTGTGAGGGCCAAGGGCAGAATCAGATAAG